CGGATTTCAGTGTATTTACTGGGATTTTCACGGGAGGCAATTGTCTCCATCAAGATTAATGAAGATGAGACTTGTCAAATTGGGAAGAACGAGAGACGGTGGGATTGATTGCACGGTCATAATTTAAGTAGCAACATAAATCGGAGCAGCAGAGAAGAGGGAAGAAGAGGTGAAAGTGGGCGCAATGTTGTTGAGGGGTGATGGGAAATTGGGATTAATGGAAAGAGAAGATGATGGGTAAAGAGGTGGTAAAGAAGAAGAAAAATCTGGGGATGTATCGAACATTATTGAGATAGCAATTGAAGCAAAGGAAGTATGGATTTGGAGTAGAGATATTGAAGAATTTGATTTGTTTTTTTGCTTTGATACCATGTTAATTTTTAGAGCCAAAGAGAAAATAACGACAAAATATTTATAGTGGTTCAACCCCAATTAGGTTTGAATAATATGTATTTATAGGAGTGATTAATCAAAGCAAGGATACAAATAGAAACATAATTACAAAAGACCCCATAGTACATATATATTACATTAATACCACCCTTAATGCTCTTTCGAATCTAAGGCCGGTACAAATAGAAACATAATTACAAAAAGACCCCATAGTACATATATATTACATTAATACCACCTTAGTGCTCTTTCGAATCTAAAGCTGGCGTCGACGACGAGACCATTGGAAAAAGCTGCAGAGTGTCTCTCTACTCTCGAATGTTCTCGGTTTTCTCTCTACGAAGTATTTTCAAAATTGGTTTTTATTGATTCGTTTAATGTCCTCCCCCTTAGCGCAAAGTGATCCTTTAATATGAGAATCTGAGGTCGTTGATAAGAGAGAAACTAGAGAGAGCCCAGACATGGTCGACCGCATGCACCGATTTTGTTTCGCTCATCCTTACCTCTCCCACTTTACAGATTCTGTAGAGAGAGAGAGAGAGAGAGAGAGAGAGAGAGAGAGAGAGAGAGAGAGAGAGAGAGAGAGAGAGAGAGATTGTTTAATGGGCAGAGGTGCGCGAGCTTAAGCTCCATGGATTGGTCTCTAGGTCGAGTTGAATTAACTCTATTTTGACCAAAATGATTGATGGGCTGGGGGCCCAATTGAGTTGGTTCTTTCTCTCTTTATTGACTTATTTATCTGATTTATGAATATTTCATTTTTTTCTTTTTCTATTATTCATTATTTACTTTTATTTTTACAAAGATGCATGCTTGACTCATCGGTATAAATACAAGTGTCAATAGATATGCATTTTAAGGTTTGGTGGGTATTTCATATGGTGTGCCCGATCATGTATGATTATGTTTCATTATATGTACGGGGCATTTAATGGAGACAGGTTAGGATATGGCGAATATGTGATGTAAATCCTAAGATAGTTTTCTTATGCTCTGTTCTTCGACTCATTTTATTGGTCAACGTCGGCAAGACCGTAAACAAGAGGTACAGAGCCATCATTTTGAGTAACCAAAAGTAGCAAATTAACACTAATGGAAATTTTAACATTTTAAGGACCAAGCATTCGGACAGATCCTTACAAAAGATATAGCTTAAGAAGAAAACATCGAACAAGCAGGAGAGATAGATAAAAAAGTTTTAATCACACTTAATGAAACATGACCCATCCAATCTCAATTACATAAAGCATGGACCCTCTTATTTATAAACTTGTACATAGTAAAACCACTCAAATAATATAACTCTAGCCACTTGCTTCATTTTACTTATATTTTTTTTTATAATAGAGTATCCAAACTTTTGTCTTGACTAATCCCAAAGGAGACACACTACGGTCTGTCCACATGCACAATCACAATCACAATCAAATGGGCCAGCTTCAACTTTTATTGAGAGTAGAGATCGCTCAACAGGAGGTTCTCGCTTGATGCCGACATGAGAGACCAAAGCCCACAATGAGTCACGAACGCCCCATTCATCGCCAAGTGCTCCGCGTGTGCTTTCTCATTGTCCGATGGAGCGACATACACCACAAGTTCCGCCCAAAACTCGGCCAATACCTTCCAAATGAATTTCGGACATTTTTCTTCTTTCAGCAATAGCTGCCCTAACTGCGCGCCCTGGATTATCACTCTACCGCTTTTATGCGTCGTCTTGCGGATCCTGTTCAATGTTTGGATTCTTTCTTCTCTTGTCTTGCGGCCTTTGAGCAAGCATCTTGTTTCAATAATGATTTCATTGAAAGCATACTCTGAATCGTAAGGGTGATCAGGTAATAAGTTCGGACAAAACGCTACCAAGTAAGCGAGATATTTGAGTAAGCTGGTCGCTACGAGGAAGTTCTAATGTGAAATCAAATCTGAAACCGGCACCATGTGCTCGAAAATGCTTGTGGCGATATGCCAAACAGTTATCACTTGAGTTTGCATCTCGAGCCTACATGCCCACGCAAGCTTATCTGCCACGTTGTTTCTTCTCAAAGAAGCTTGTCCATTCTCCAACACCCCGGGATTCGACATTAAAGAACGGAAAACAGCTTTTTTCACTTCCGAGGACAATTCGGCGAGCGCACTGTGTTTTTGACCGTCCCTTATAAGATTGATGAACATAACTGTGAAGGAATTGTATAGCCACCTCGGAGGGGTGTAATCATACGACTCGAGAAGCGAGTATTGGCAACGTTTCCTTTCCCAAGGCTTCAGTAATTGCATCCGGCATATTAGTCCTATCAGCTTCTCGATCCGTTTTTTCCCGTGCCACGAGGGAGTTTGTACGTAGTTGCATAGCAATGACACTTTTGCCCAATCCGAGATGGCCATGAAGAAAAACTGCACGAGCTCCCCACATGTAAGTACTATTAGAATAAGTGCCGTCACTAGAACGTCGATGCTCAACCCTCCTCGAGTAGCTAGTTGAACTTCATCTTCATGTCTATCCGAGTTGTACTTGAAACAAAATCCAATCGTTAGCAGAGAACCAGTGACCAAAAGCAAGAGCTCTATAACCTTTAGTTTCCAACCGGTCGGCAGGAAGATGATCGGGTATTTGGTGTAGAAAGAATCGAAAAGAAAGGAAAGCTCTAGCTCAACGACCCTAAATGCTCGCTCGTAGCCATTTCCTTTGTCGTACAAGTGCTGAATCAACTTCCACGCCTTTTCGTGAGCTTTTTTGGGCAGTGAATAGCCGCCAAATAACCAAAGAAGCTTACAAAGCGAAAACGAGAGGCAAATATCCTTGAGCTTGCTGTCTTTGTCCCCACCGTCCGATCTCAAAAGCCATCCTTGGTATTTCCACACCTTCTCGATGGTGATGACTCTGTCAGTGATCTCCAATGACTCCCGGTAGTTCGGCGCTTCCCATCGTGCTGCAGCTTCTTCTTCTTTGGGCTTCTTTAATGACGTTGAACTTGTCTTTCCCACTCGCACAACATAGTTGTATTCTCTCATCTGGCCAGGGTCGCCTTCCGACAAGTGGTGCTCAGAGCTCATGTAGTCAGCCACCCATTTGGTGGTCATCTGTCGGCCATACCCGCTCGCAGTAAGGAGAGGTTCTGCTCTATTACTGACCTTGAGCGGCACCGTTAAGCCTAGAATAATTAGTGCCGAAATCATCCACGGCGTGATCCCGTACATGAACAACAGAATGGTTACCCCGGTGAACTTGATCACATATTGCCAACCGTAGTTCTTCCACCGCTGGCACTCCTCGAGGCTGTGGATGGAGTAGGAGTCCAAGCTCCCAAAGAAGATCATCAAGAAAATGGCCCAAACTGGTAACAGCTCGTTTCAGAACGGCGCTTCGGTTATGAGACCGAGCGTGTATGCGATGAGGTAGCTCGAGAGGGTGTATGCTGCCCATAACAGGATCCTGAGCTTCCGTTTGTTGTGCCGACGCCTTGATGAGCCGAAAATGTTGAGCAAGATTAGTAAAATGGCTGTGAGGTACACGAGAATTTCGATCTTGGCCAGATTTGCCTTCGGAGTGCGCAGATTCTTTATGACCGCGGTGGCCTCAGAGAGGGTCTTGTTCCCCGCTCCCATTTGGCGTCTTTGCAAGCCCCTCGTGTTGGTGTATGACGAAAGATTTTGTATTTTGGGTGTGCAGAGAGAGCCAAGAAATCTAGACCTTTTCAGAAAATGGGTTGGAAACGGTGGCACTCCGTTATTTATACTTAAAAATTTTCAAGCCATCGTTTGGTATTTACGAGTCGCTGGCTGAAGCGCATGTGCATCATCCTGAGAATCCAAGTGCAGAGTAATGGTAAGAACGTAAGACTTATATCTTGTCACCAAACAATCCCAATTCTGCGGAATTTGAAAATTCAAAAATAGATTTCGGCCCCATAAACAATAATCACATTGTTGAATTACGAAGTATGTGTTTCTTTATGTTAATTATATAAATGATTCATAAACTACTTTCTTGAAGAGAGAAATCCTCTTCGGTTTTTGATTTTCTTGTTAGTATCTTTCTGAGTTAGAGGCCACCTGATTGTGGTAGTCCATAAATAGGGGCGTAGACATTCTCTTAGCAATCATGAGTTCGAAGGAAAATAAAAAAGACTCATGAACCTCATGTCCATGAAGACAGTACTAATAGGGACTTACAAATACAAAGAAGGCCTAGCCTTAATTTTTGTACTACCCTTTCATGCTTTTTATGACTTTCTCTTTGAGTGATCTTTATTCATGTTGGAAAGGAGAACCCAAAAACTTCAGTTAACTGGTGGATGGAAACTATATGTATATAAAAAATATATGAACATTGTAGACAAGCGATGTGGAATACTTTAACAACCCCTCTCACATTCAAGCCAAATTAGAAACAACACGTGTAATATGACGAATGGGGATTGTACACGCAAAATAATTAGGACAAAACCTAGTTGTGATATCATGTTAGAAAGTCTAGTCTAAATGCTTAAACTAATATGTAAAAGGAGACACGTGTATATAAAAAACATATAAACTCCATAAACTACGTGTAAATAAAGAGCATATAAAGAAGGTAAAGAGTTCAAAGTTGATAGTTTGATCTTCGGGTAACCTAAGAGCTAAATAGGAGAAATACCACGTATTTTGTATCATAAATCCCAAATTCACTAAATAAGTCTCCTTTGGTTCCATGACAAGGAACTCTCAAATGGATTGCATCATTCTTTCCTTTTCAATTGTTTGGATTGTAAAAATTTTGGTCGCAAGGAAAGAATATTAGTCATTAACAACGGGGAATGCATCTAGTGGCCGAAAGTAAATTCTAGCGATTGGCAACTTAGTATCGATGGCAAAGTCTGGCTACCTACACAAAGCCTGGTGGCCTGTGGCGGAGTCAAGCAACCTGCGACCACCGACGTTGTCCAATGGGGTCCGATGGTCCCATGCCAGCGCAGCCTCCTCCTTCCCTAGACACCTCTTGATAAATTGCTTAGTACGAACGAAGCCATTCACCCATCTCTCCTCTTCACCCCTCACCAAATACGTATACCCTCTCAAGCGAACCGGATCGACTTCACCACTTTCGTGCTCCACGCTCATATAATCGGCAACCACTTTTGTATCCCTCTCCAAAGACTGGCAGCTCACCGCCATCAAGGCCCAAGCCCTCTCGTCGGCCTTCAAGGTCAAGACGAGGACGAGGTACGGGGTCCCAAACCCCGTGTTGGACGTGTCGCGGAAGTGCCAGTCTATCAAAAATAACAACCAAATCAATTTGATCATGATCTGCCAATTGTAGCTCTTCCACTGCTCGTTGTCTTCGAGACTGTATGCGGAGATAGAATTGGCGCTCCCGAGGTTGATCATCAGGAACGCTGCCCAGACAGGGAATAACTCGTTGAGGAACGGAGCTTCCTGCATTAGGCCTAGAGCGTAGGTGAGTACAGCCCGATTGCCATCGTCGTCAATATTCCTAATCACATCAAACACATTTCTAGCCACATTATCAACCCTTTCTACATTCACATCATACAAATCTTCAATTTTTATCTCAATCTACAATCTCAGCTGTCCTATCTCAACACTTGTCACTTCATCATCACCATAATACTCCACATACAGGTCAAGGATTTCACAATATAAGAGATCTATCATAGCATAATTATCCCATAAAAACCAAAGATCACCTTTGAGAGCGGTACTTCCAAGAACTCTGCAATAGAGTTTGTGTATTTTACACCTAACCAAAACCTCAATAGTTTTAGTTGTACGAGAGAGTGAATTCTTACTTAAGTCTATTTCAACAATGACCCTTCCACCTCTGTATTCAAAGGGTGGTCCTACTTGAAAGCTACCTCCAAAGAAAACTGTGTTAAGGATTTTGTTGTCGAGAGAACAAAAAAATCTGATGAGCACCATTTTTTTTAATAATGCACAACAAATAAAGCCAGTGATCCAAACAAATTAAAGATTCCGATCATTCAAAACCAAAAATAGGACTTGTGCGAAATGTCAATATTCTCAAAGCCAACTATCGATCCTCTCAAAGCCAAATGCAGTTCTTTTGTCTAGTGTTATGTGAAAGAGATTGCAACGACCTCCATTAGAACAAACTTCTTCAATTGTAATGCCCTCGTTTTTCAAAATCATTTTCCTTCGATTCTGTATTTGTGCAATCAAACGAAGAAGAGAGCTTTAGGGCTCGGACGAAGAAGAGGAATTTGGGATATTTGGTTCAAACAACCTCCAAACGAAAGAGCTCCGTGATTTGCAATGCATTCAATTTTCTACGAGTCCTTTTCTTTCGGTTCTCACTTGTCTCTCAATCATACCAAGAAGAAGAATTTGGGGCTATTTGGTTTGACTAATGTCCAACGGAATGAGCTTCATCAATTGTAATGCACTGCCGTCAACTTTGCAAGCTTCTTTCCTACGACCGTATTTGATTGTGCAATCAAACGAAGAGAAGGAATTTAGGGCTCGACCGAAGAAGGGGAATTTGGAATTTGGGGCTATTTGGTTCAATTTGGGGAAAACACCCAAAAGACAATTTGTTTATCTACTCAATTTGAGGTATGCTTTCAATATGACATTATTTTGCATCACTAAAGGTCAATAAATCGGCGTCTCTATGCACAGACGGAAGTCTCAATTAAGTTTCCTACCACATAGGAGAGATAAATGAACAAAAAAGAAAGCACCTCATTATTTTCCGGCCGTCAATTTGGATAAAGGACGGCAACACTTGATCGCACCAATCTAACAAGTTGTATGACTTGATTGCACTTTATAAAAAAGTTTCAGGACTCAATGACACTTTCAGGACAAGTTCTATAACTTTTGGTGCACTTGTCCCTCTCTATTGTAAAAGATCCGGTCTCTAAACTAATTTTCCCTAATATTTTTAGAACAAATTCCTTATTTTCGTCCAAATGCAGTCACATAAGCTAACTACATGACAAAGATGACGTGTACATAAACCATCGATAAATGGACGAACAAGAGTAGAAATGCTTCTGTTGGCAAATTGGATAACGCATGAAAGTAGAAATAAAATCAATTGCTGAGTAACGACAACAATGGCATCCACAATTAGGGGTGAGCATGATCCAGGTGGGCAGTTCCCACTTTGGAATCGGGAACCGCCCACTAAATATCGGTTTCGAAAAATTGGAATCGGGAACTACTCGTTAGCTCCATGGACCCGATCCCAACAAACTTCACGCAAATGAAAATGACCGAGAGTGAGTGAGGGAGGTGATGAATGGTCAGGCACGGCCATGAGTTAATGGGAGTTGAGAGTCAAAGCCGTGAGTCAATGGGCATCGAGCTTGAGAGTCGAGACCATGAGTGAGAGATAGTGAGAGGACTCAAACAAAGTGAATGTGAAACGAGACGAGCACTCAGTTGACGAGCATTAAGCTTTAGATTAGGGATGTTAAGGTTTTCATTTTTTAAAAAAATTTCTTTTTTTTAGGTTGGAAATTTTTTTTTTTAAATCTTATATATATTACTGGTCCGGTCTGAGGTGAGCAGTTCCACGTCTAGAATCGAGAACCGGACCAGTACTCACCGGTTCTAGTAAATTGAAACTGAGAACCGGACCGGTCCCCATGGGAACCGCCGGTTCCGGGCCAATCTGGTCCAGTTCTGGGCAGTTCCCGGTTCTTTTGCACACCCCTATCCACAATATGAGAGAGAGAGAGAGAGAGAGAGAGAGAGAGAGAGAGAGAGAGAGAGTTGTAATACATTATCAGATGAAAGACTAGAGAAGACTTCATAACTTCCAGTAGAATGATCCGCTCTGATATTTACTTGTTACTTGGTCCGGAGGATGTGGGAGACATCGAATCTGCATGTTCAATTGCTTCCATGAGAGCAGTAGGTCCTAGATGCTTGAGAACCTAGCACACAACAATTTTTAAACAACACATCAGAAGAAGTTCGCTCTAGACTCACGGAGGATCCCAAAGTTAACTAATTATAAGAAGGGAAACACATTGTTGAGTATAAATTATCGAACGACACACCTTTTGACATTTTGAAATACAATTTTCTGCAAGTAGTATAGGTGTAATGACAGTTTGCATAAAGTGTTTACATATATTGCACTTTGCATCGCATCAGCAAACCATTACGATTGCTAAAAGTTTTGCATTCTACATTGAATTGTTGTCGCATGGAAGACAAAAACCACGGCGACTGTATATATAGAAACCATGACAAACTGCAAAAACCCAAAATGCTTCATAATCACTGAAATTAAACTATCTTATCAGTCAGAGATTATTTTGACTGAGGAAATATTCTCGAAACACTAGAGAGAGAAGAAAAACTGGGCTTTCTGGATTCACAACAATGCCCACTAGATGCCAACAATCTGAATGTCCAATGTTTAAGACCCTGTGCGGAACGCAATTGACTCCTTGCCATTGTGCAAAGATCAAAGCGTTTCATCAGTCGAGACAAACCAAAAGCTATTTTACTGTGGTAGAAGATAGCTAGTGAGATTTAACTAGATACAGGACATGCAATGACTATGTTGCTTATTACCCAAGTTCCAGGATTCTTGCCTAAACTTTTGGAACATGCATGCTCCACAGAACTGGCATTCTGTAAACTCCCATTCCCCAACATGTGCTACTCTTTCTCTTGGTTAATTGATGAGGTAAAGATGAAACGGTAACAGTACTACAACATTCAGATGTAGGCCTTGCCTGGAATATCGAGAGAGAGAGAGAGAGAGAGAGAGAGAGAGAGAGAGAGAGAGTGTAACCTCATTTGCATCGTTGAATCTACTGAAGTCGTCCTTTTTTGGCCAATTTACCTTCCAACATCTAAACATTCATAATATAAAAGGAGTAAGTTTTCCAGGTGAAAACAAGAACTGATAAAGTTGGCACAAAGAGGTGGTTTCCATGACCAAAACCTGTTAACTTCTGGTCACAAATGGATATCCTTAGTCTTTAAGCCCAGGCTTGCTCGAAGACAAAGCAATAGCTAGTAACTACTGTACGTTGAGATATTGCACACACTTGTTGTTCACTAGATAACTTCTCATGCTTTCTTTTTCGTTTTAATAATATGGGTGATTCAGTAGAGTGAGCATTTTCACCAATTAAATAGCCTCAAGAGGGTTGCACTAACACAAAATGCCAATAGAGTTCTACCTACCAGTTTACTTATCATAATATGGAAACTAAGTTTGCAGCTCATGCCAAAAAAAGGACCGGGTTAACCATAGAATTGTAAATAAAATAAATAATCAGTCAAACAACTTTGACCTTTGTTTTCCAAGGCGCTTTGCAAGCTCCTCTGCCAAAGCTTGACCAGGTGCGTCGCCATCAGTTGCCAGGATTATTCGAGAAGCCTGAGATGTTTTAGACAACAGAAAGAAATACATGAAGCAATCTTTTAGAAATGAAAATGTGCACCAGAAAGGCACACACGGAGTTTACACACCTTATCCAAGTAATCCTTGCAGTTCCATAAGTATTGATAAGCCGTGTCCTATCAAAATTCACATGAACAGCGGAATGAGTAACAAATAGTTCACTAATTATGATAATCAAATTCCAACAATGTAACAGCAAAAAGTTAGTAGCAATGCAGGTAAAAGGCAACACTGGTGTCGACACTAGAAAATCATTTATTTCTGATAGTGGGACCCTGACTTACAACCACATTCATACATACTACATGAGTTGTATGGCCTCCACCAATCAGAACTAATGCAGATGGAAATAGAAATCACCACTGCCAGATGTAAAGCCATACGATTATCTGATACGACGAAGTTACAGTTTTCACACATCCTTCAAAAGGAAGTTCTCATTCAATTGCCAAAGTTTCTGCAATGAAATCTTCCATATCACTCAAAAAGCCACTGAAACTTACTGTAACAGTAATGATTCTCTGCCTCTTCGAAAATATCGCTGTCGCAACTCGTCAGCACATCAATCATTGCAAAACAAGACCAATTGATTTGCTTCAGCAAGTTTTTGGATACAAGACACTGAGTTGACATAGATCTACTTCATATGAGCTTCACACTATCAAAGCTGACCCAGAAAGTCTCACACTATCGCAAGAGAGATGTGATAGGCGACCTTCACGTGTCAACAGTCATTCTTGATATAAGAAGTTAAGACCAAATAAACCTACTTCATATAAGCTTCGCACTCCAAAAGCTGACTAAAAGGTCTCAGGCTATATGGCAAGAGAGATCGATAGGTGACATTAGCATTTCAACAAAGCCAATTACCAAAGGAGCTGTGCAGATTGTTTGGACAAATCTCCCCCGTTACCTGCCAACCGCCATTTTCATGATTTAGAATGGATTCATTGGATTAGATTTCCCTTAGTTTCAACGTTGTCAATGAACTAGTCTTGCAACTAGGCAAGCACTCAAAGTTTCAGCAAGGTACTACAGGCCATTTCAAGTATCAGATAGATAGGATAAGACAAGTAGCTTACAAGCACTGGTGGAAGCTAAATACTCCAGAAAGTTTTAAACCTAACACAAGTCATCCCCACCCAAACCAGAAACAAAGCCATCAGATGCAAAGATTCCTAATGTGTATCATGTCAGAAGTTTCCTTGCAGTGTCGATTGTTAACATAATAAAAAGTGGAATATAGAGAACAGACTTCTTAATGTAATGGAATGAATCCCAATCTCAAGAGCTACTTGGGATTGTGCTCATTAGCTGAAGAGATGTGTTGACCATTAGCTTTGATCACATGACAAATCCAAGGGAGATGATTAAAAGGGTTACGAGTGTGAACGAATGGAATGTCTAATGGTTTTACTCTTTTTTGATAGGTAAAAGCAATTCGACTAGAGGACACCATGGGGTTGCAAACCCATACACAAGAAGAGCTCAACGAACGAAAAAAGTAATCAGTGACAAGACAAAACATGTACTATGTCAATCAAAGAGCAGATCCATATGCATATTTTCACTGTACCAAAAGATTAAAACTTTAACCTAATTTTCAACTTCAACCCAATTTTCAAAATTTACAAAAAGGGAAGGCTCTGCTTCTTCAAAGGTTCTCTTGCTCCTCTCTTTACGTATCAACCAAAAAAGGGAGAGAGTAATTGAAGAAATCCTTCTTTTCTTGTATGCAGCAAGTGAATGCCCTATTGGCTTAGTGGAATGGTAATTTGCTCGCTTGATGTTACTATACTCAGCATCGACAAAACTGTTGTCTTGTCCATTTGATGGGAGTTGTTCCTTATTTATATTCACCAACTTCCATGTAGTTATTGTGTTGGTCAAAGTCTACAGGGCGAATGGCAGTGAATAAGTCTGTAATGAAAGGCATCAAGAGGGTGCCAAAACCATCTACCAAAGGAACTCAAAACTAAAAGAGCTCAGTTACAAGACAAAGCATATACATAAGCTTTCTATAATTCCAAAATATAAGCATCTCCTCTTATTCAAGAATTCTCTTGTTCTGCTCTTTCCACATCAACCAAAAAGCAGCAAGACAGGTCGAAGAATTCCTTTTCTAAACACAAGGCAAAACAGACCCTACGAAGCCTATAATTCTTGTTCAGAGAACCTTCTATAACCTGAGATAGTCCAATGCAGGAATAAGAGGTCTGGAAGAATGAAGGAGGAGATGTCTCACAGTCTCTGCCAAAAGATAGTATCTATTAAGCAGCACGATCCCTCTTTTCTGCAAGTTGTCTAAGGTGAGAATACGTTCCCAAGTTGTCCCAAGCAAAACAAAAGACTCTAATCGGTACTCTTACTTTCCAAATAGCTTTCCAAGGAAAAGCCTCTTTACCACCAACAATCTTCATTCGAAATAAGGAGGAAATTTTTTCTAAAAAGCCGTGAAACTACAGTAGTTTATTTCTTTTACATGTTTCTAATTCTTGAAAGCAGATTAATCGGCAGACTTTCAAAGTAGCCAGGAAGAGACACAACAAGATGATGAAAACTGTCAGGATCACAAGTGTCTTTCTTAGCAGTAGAGAGGGAAAAAGCAGGTTGAAAAATTAAGCAAGATATAGAAACTTAACTCGAGAAAAAAATTTGATGTTCCTCAGGTTATATATTTATGGCCATTGAAAAATATAAAGATGGAGAAAGCGATACAGATGCTAGACAACTATCAGATTTTCTGTCTTGGCAAAGGGACCTTGCTATATCATTAGTATACTTTCACACTCCCATCTGTGAAATCTAAGTTTACCATAAAAGGATATGATTCACTAGCATACAACCAATAATAGGAGACTTTCACTTGATAAGAGATGGTCAGTTGTGGAAACTGGAAAGACCTAAGTTTCAGCATGTTAAAGTAACTTTAAATTCAAACCAAAATAGGATATGCCTAAAACTAGTAACCAACCTTGTCCGGATAAGGCAATTCTTTGTTGGAAACTTTTCCTGGGGCACCACCAGGAACACTTGCACAATTTATAAAACCAGCTTCCTCCAATGAGAGCTTATCAATTTCACCTTCAACCTATAACCGACATTCATATATGAGAGAGAGAGAGAGAGAGAGAGAGAGAGAGAGAGAGAGAGAGAGAGAGAGAGAGGGTAACAAAAAGTTACAATGACAATTTCATCTGCTTCTGATATGTCATCTAGTCCATATAATGCCTTTTCGGTACCCTTCTCCTGAAAGTCCATAGCAGAAAGACAGCTCTTGTAAGAAACTTCCAGAAATCTCTTAAATTTAAATATTGAAGCATGACCAGAAGGAAACTGATATGTGGTATTGACAGAAAGGTCCATTGTTGAAACATGAAGAACATTTTTCTCGATGCAGATGAAAAGATCCGTCTACTCTCTAATGAAGGCCACATAGAGTCCTAAACATATGAAACACCACGTGATTCGGACTAGAAAACCGGTTTCTGATGCTCGTATGCATCTTAATTTCTGGCTTGTCCAGACCTTTATATCTAGATACACAGATTGAGCAACTAAGTAAACAAAATACTGAGCCAGTACTTCTATATTCAAATAAAACAAGACTTTCAGCACCAATACATGATATATATACACATTAGACATGCATACTTTCTCAGATACTTTACCATTTCACCAAAAATGTTTGATAGTTTATATTAAACTGTTAAACCATAAATGGTTTCAATGGAAGCAGTACTAAATAAACTGAAGAGATGGTATGAGCGGGTATTGAGTTGAAATGTTTACTACGGGCGCAATATCCATAGCACATCCATGTCATGTCACCTTGACTAATATAAAAAAAAAAAAACCCTAGGTTTCAAAGCACACTGGATAATCACCAGAGCACACCCGTTGTAGGTACCCAAAAAATGATTATCTGGGTTCTTCTCCAAATGCAGGTAAAGACAATCTATGTCAGCTCTGACAAACCAGATTTGGAGCTGAAAGAACTTGATTAGAAAATTAAAAAGTTCAAGGACTTGATTGGAAATCTATGCCACCAAGGAATAGATTTTTCTCACAGCCTGAAATTATTTACTTTATCCCAAATATGTGACATCAAATCTCCCAAATGCTATTAATCAATGATTTTCCATTTCATTTTTCAGTTATTTACTTCTCGGTTTTCAGTAGACGTAAACTAGCATCCATAAGCAATTCCATTTCTTCAGTTCAACATACCAAAATATATTTAAGATGCATGCTGGAATTTTATTACTCTAAACCGAAATGTCCCTACGACACCGAGAGGCAAGAGAATCTACCTGCCAAAATTTCTTGTCCAAGGTCCGATACTTGCAACCAACAAGTTCTCCTTTCCTTTTGTAAGGAAAAGAAATAGCACTCTGGAAGAAAGTTTCAAAGTGGTTAGTCTCATCTGATACTCATTTCAGATCAGAAATAAACATTAAAACTGTTATCTTCTAGTTTCTTAAAAAATATATTATCAGTACAGGCTTTAAAAAGTGTGACCAAAAACCGTGCAAGATTTCCATATTATTAAAATGATATCAGTATATCTAAGCTAAGTGAGAGCTGATACAACATCTCAATCTTAAGTCCATTGCTCCAGCACTATAAGTAAGAGGCAAACTCCACAATTTGCATGAGAACATCTTGGGGATGGTAAAGTTTTCTATCAAGTACAGCATCTATTAAATAATAATTAATCAAGTAGATAAGTATAACCAATCGTAATAGCCGCCCTTTTTTCTTTTGGCAAACAGAAACTTCTGGATCCATTCGGTCTAACCTGAATCACATTGCAAGTAATAGCAGAAGCAATTAAAATAGGGAACCTGTTTGCCTGATAGTTGTTTGACTCCATTTCGTTGAAGAGTTTCCACCGATATTTTTCGTTCCGCAAAGTACCCAATAATCTGAAGGGAACAGAATCTTAAAAATAAGTAGCACTCATCACAAGGAATTATACCCACACATCAGAGATAAACACAAGAACCAATTCAACAAATCCTGAGAACATAATAAATGCTTAAACTCAAAAGCAACGGTTGCAAAAGTGAGGAAAAAAAAACAAGGAACAAAGGAAAAGGTTGTCATTTGTGAATAAGATGCTCCTTTACTAATACTAACAGTATCAATCAGCTGGGAAAATGTTTTACTATGCACACTAGCAATTAGTGAGGACTTTGAGCTAGCTACAAATGTCAAATTTTTGGTAAGGACAATAAGGAAGCACCATGCAAACACAATATGTCAAAATCTAGGAAGACAATGAGGAAAGTAAATCAAGTTATTGGCATGTAAACTATGCTCAACTCCATTGAAAAAGAATCCACGAATATGTGTTGACCATGTTATTAAACAAGACAACAACACAATTTGACCTAAAAAATTAGCTGTACAATGTACCCTATAGACGCCGGTACTTTTTTGCATACTAGTCTGTAGCATGCAGTAAGATATGTCGCTCGTACCCTCATCAATAGTGGCTTGACCTAGACTTTCTTTAAAATGAGCAAAAATTGTTCATGTTCTAAACTCTACATTCTAACCACTAGAAAGCTCCAACTGATTGTTGGGTGGTAATTGCCATCATTTGCCAACGTTGATTTTAAGGACAAATCCAAAGCCTACATGGATATAATTCCTCGCTATGAGATTAAGAACTGAGATTCTTTATCATTTAGTGCCACCGTGCAAACATAAGATTTCTCAAGGTGATAGCACTAATCAAACTTGTGGCATCATGTCAATGGGAATGTGTGCCGAATGACTTTTATTTTGTAAACGGTCAATGCTAATGTACAAAGTCTCCCCAAGAATTAGACATCAATATACAAAGTTTTGACTCTTCATGTGATAAATTACTTAAACAAAATTACCATACCCGTGACCCTTGATCACAGTTTGATATGAGGGCATATTACTGACCCATAGTATAAAACAGACATTCTTGGTCCTCCTACTTTGTAGATCAGTATAACACCAACTCTACGCGTCTATTGTTCACAAACTTTGTAAGCAATATTGGACATGATATTGGGCTAGCACATCTTCATCAAAAACAACCCACGAGACTCATCCGAAGATAAAAGCTAACAAAAATGAACAATATTGTACTATTCTTAAAAAAAATCAAGGAGAGAGAGAGAGATAGGCTTCCTTCATTTGACCTCACAACTGAAGTTTCAAACTCCCAAAAGTAAAGAGGTACCCACGGCCAATCATCATTAGAGACTCCACTTTTGTGGTTGTTGATGGCAAGTGATGAAGGCTAGGAGTTCTCTACTTGTTTACATGGGAAAACGGTCTGTCGGCCTACTGTGTGGATCATAACTTCGATGATAAAACCATGCTTTCCAATAAAAAATTTACAACAGATTGAGAGATCTGGCAATTGGAGCACATCATGATTGTTATTGGTAGCTGAATCAAGGTTGGCTGATGTATGCTCTCACAAATCCGAAGCTTGCATGTTATAAACAATCATTTTGATGAGATTTTTTAAATCATCCATTCAATTGAGTCACCTTTCCCAGACCCAAAGAAAAGGTGAAAGATTCGATTCTCCAAGTCTTTCTTCTGCATTTCTTACAAACCAGAGCCCTAACTTAAGTGCACTGGGATTTCAATATCTAAAAATCTGATGTATTGTCTACATTACAAACCAAGCATGTTACTTCAGATTCAGCTGTGTCTAACGGCCAGCAGGATGCCACGTCAGACATTTCTGATGAGTTTTCAAATGCCACAAAGCACAAGTACTCATAATGCAGGTTTGGCAATAATTTACACAAGACCAAAACACAGGATTGTACAAACAATTTTCCCCAAATGCTAAAAGAGATAATTGACAATGCCAAATTAGAATTAGTGAGTGTACCTTATCGCTCAAGGGTTCCAACCTTAGGCTCTCTTCTGTCATCTGTACAGTGGATCTGACCTTTAGGGCTGCATAGTCTCCATCACATGAATTTCCACTGTCTGCAAAGGCCTAGATGAGAAGTCACTGTTGGGTCCAACTCCAAGCACTCATATTAATGCTTCACAAACTCATGACAATCCATCAAGAACAATCACATTACCTGACCAGCCCATCCACATTCCATTCGGAAACACCTCCACATTGCGAACTCCCTTCAAGACAGATACAGAAGCAAAATCCCAATGACTAGAGCAATACACATCAGCCGGATGAAAACTTACATCAAACTCATAGAATCAACATACCCGCTTTGGACGATATGGAAAGAGAGGCTTCTCTCAACTTTCCGTCCCCCTCGGCACTACAACGCACATTAAGACGAACGGGTCACAAACCGAATTCCACCGGAATCCTCAAGCATAAAGAGACACCGAGGCACCAACATGCTCGGAATAAACATCCCCCACTTTGACTTAATAAGTGCGCAGTTCTAGAAAGCTAGGACAGTAAAAATAAATAAATAACACGGCCACGGCGAAATGAGTAACCTTTGGACAAAACAAGTTGCTGTAAAATCCGGGTCTGCTATGATCCTCACAGCCAATACCAAGAAGCTCAACTTTCTGCTCCAACTCTCTCAGTTTCGCCATATCAGCAGCCCCACCCTTAGAATGCTGCGGTCTCGCCTCTGCAGCTACAATGTCAGCATCAAATTCACGCCCCACAAAAGAGAGCCCAGTAAAAGAGCCACAGCTCACAGCCCTGAAGGGTACTCGCAGACTCGCAGACGACACATATCTGAGAGACTTGAGGCAAGAGAAGTACCGGGTGGTACGCTCTCCGTCCTGGAACAGCGGACAGAGCGACGCAGAGCTGTGGATAGACCGAAAGATTCATCGGGCTTGATTCTGACGAACAATCTGGGGCAAGAACTGAGATGATGGTGCGGGGGCGCGACACCGAAGGGCATTGTCCGCGACTCGTGTGGAGGGTTGGAGAGTGTGGAAATGGAACGGAGGAGACATATCTTGATGCGCCCTTTTGCTCCTTTCGAGAAAAAAAGAATTGGAATTATTTTTGAAAACATTTTCGAAAAATAATATTTCGAGAAAATAATAACACTTTTCGGTGATTGGCTAAGCCTAAATATTTTGGGTTAATACCACGTAAAACTCCAAGTTGGTACGCTTGTGATAAATTTACCTAAAATTAATTTTTTTGACTATCAAAAATTTCAAACTGGTATATCTGTGACAAATTTACCCTCCGTTAGTTTCCGTTAAATTTTATCATTAATTTGTGAGTTGGATGACAGGTGACAGTTGACGGGTGTACCGATTTGAGGTTTTACCATTCGTTTGTCACAAGTGTACCGGTTTGAGATTTTAATCCAATTTAACAAAAACTAACATGGGGTAAATTTATCACAGGTGTGCCAATTTAGAATTTTTAATGGTCAAAAAATTAATTTATGGTAAATTTGTCAAAAGTATACCAGTTTGGGGTTTTTTGTGATCAAAAAATTAGTTTATGGTAAATTTGTCATATGTGTATCAGTTTAGAATTTTTCGTAGTATCAACTCAAATATTTTTTATCGTGTGAAATAACTTATTCTTAGTTTCCTAAAAAGATATATATTGTTCATGGTCTTTTACGCAAGCGATCTCGTAAAGAAAGTGTAGAATCGTTGACGAAATCAGCATAAATGATAATAATGAAATTGCACTTAGGTTACAATTTTAGCTCTGTCTATTAATTCTTTTTTTTTATCACCTATGAATACAGAATAAAAGTTTTGCATACCTAATTTTTTTTTTACTTTTTTGTTGGTTTAAACTTTGAATTCGTTAACTGTGGATTTCCAAATTCCAAACACGTTAGCTAAGTTTCGACCACGAAAAAAGGATTTTGATAAAAAAATAATCATACACACAAAAATTCGAATTTCTCATGCGTAGTCTTTCAAATGGAAAGATCATTTATATGTTAATAGAATGAACAAAATTGCCAATACGGCAAGCTATGTACTTGTCAGTATCTTAATTTGGCTTGTGGAGTAAATTTTTTACAGTCCAAATGTATTCAAAAACTAGATAATTTTACAGTCCTAATATAACTTTCTATGACGGAGACCATCCGTTCTACCATCATACCTATCACGTTGCACACATTCATGTATTGAGATTTGGCAATTTTGTTAGTATACAGGTGAGAATTTAGTAAGTTAATATAAAATACATTATTGCATCATTCTTCATTAACTAAACTTTTGAAGTAATGGAATATGTTGTTTTCAGTATAGTTTGAATGCTTAATGAAGCTCAAGCTCATCTTATTTTAGTAGACCTGGGCTCAGCCATCGGGGTTATGGGGACTTGGGCACAACCACCGAAGACCTGGGTACGAGTGTCGAGGTCTTGGGTCTGAGCTCAATGGACTTGGGCACAACCCTAAGGGTCCTCGACCCAAGTGTAGAGGACCACAATTCAGGCGTCAGGGGACTTGGGCCCGGTAGTCGAGTTCCCAATCATAGGAGACGGGGTTTTTTGGGCTTAGTCAATGGACTCAGGGACTTGGGTGTGACTTAATGGACTTGGCCCAAACGCCAGTGACTTAGGCGTGGGAGCTAGGTGCCGCCAGTACCATACCGAGGCACAGCCGTCAGGGAGGCATTAGGGTCTCAGGCTTAGCCTCAAGCAATCTAGGTCCAGTTTATGTAGACTTGAGCCTAGCTATCCATGAAATTGGCCTCGACCTTAATTGACTTGGGCATAGCCAGGGGCGTGGGCATGAGCACCGAGTCCCGTGCTCGACCTCGAGGTATCCAAAGCTAAGTGGATTAGTGCTCATGCTCTATGGACCCAGGCTCAGCCACTGAGGATTCAAGCACTAGTGTCGGGGTCCCCATGCCCAAGTTTTAAGGTCTTAGTTCCAAGTGTTGAGATCTAGTCGTTTGTTGGAAAATGATTTTTAATTTTTAAAAGATGAAATCATTTTTCTAATTTTAAGTATGATTAACCGTTGATAATGAAAAGAATTTCCGTTAGGGTTAACACAATGAAAAACCCCTCAACTGGTACATCTGAGACAAATTTACTCCAAACTAATTTTTTAATAATAAAAAATTCCATACTGGTACACTTGTGATAAATTTACCATCTATCAGTTGCCGTTAAATTTTATCGTCAAATTGCTAAGTTTGATAACACGTGACTATTGACAAATGTGTACCAGTTTGGGATTTTACAATCCATTTGTCACAAGTGTACCAATTTGTGATTTTTCATAGTATTCCAATTTAACGGAAATTAACGAAGGTAAATTTGTCATAAATTACCAATTTAGGATTTTTTTGTGGTAAAAAAATTAGTTTTGGATAAATTTATCACAAGTTTACTAGTTTGGGGTTTTTAGAGGTCAAAAAATTAATTAGGGATAAATTTATCACGATTGTACCAGCTTGGGGTTTTTCGTGACATTAATCCTTTCCGTTAACTCATTTTTCTAAGCTATATATCGTACAAATGAGGAAACTGTTTGTCGATAATAAATTTTTCACGAAACAAATGGACCTCGTTCAAGTCTTGACTATGTTTTTGCCTCTCATTGTCTCGGTGAGTAACACTGACCACGATTTCTGGTTTTTTCTAGAAAAAAAAAAATGCGCCATCTGGTGGTACCAATCTCGTGTCATTGTCATAATTCCAATTTATTACTAGGCGTCATAATATGTAAATACTTAGAAATGTGTTATGATACTGGTAGAAATTACGATATAATCTAGCTTGATAATATGAATTATTAAAGTCACCTCATTATCGGGGAGGCTGAGGATTTTCTACATCTTTGACTTAGAAATCGGATTACTTATCTTTCTCAAAATGGAAGTGTGACACGTGAATGGAAGAACTCACCCAACTAGCCCAACTTGGAAGCTCTGATATCAACTTGATGCGTGGTGACTAAGTGAGGATACTGAACTTATTTTTTACGGATCAAAAGAATTTGATGTGTTTGGGAAAAAAAAAGATTTGGGATAGAAGAGTTACACCAACCAAGGATAACAAACTTTTAAGTGCATCACAACAAATTGAATAGAGACCTGAAGGAATCGCTCAATTGAGAGGAATTCTTAGATATTATCAACTCAAAATATGTTTGCTTACCCTTACCAAAAAAAAATATATGTTTGCTTACAATTGAGAATGCATCTCTCATTTATAGACGGACTAAGATATAGGACCTAGGAAACATTAAATTAAGATGCAGTAAATTAGGAAATATCAAATAAGAATACGTACTCAATGTCGATTTTTCATTTTCTTCTTCAAAATTCCACTTATTTAAATATGCTGATATCTAGCAAAACAAATAAATCTATAAAATAGGTAAGAGAGAAATTCGTAATGTGTTTTATTATTTTTTAACCCCTTTTGTTTTTAATCTTACAATTCAAACACGATTTAAATAATGGACGGGGGAGAGATGACACGAGTTTAAAACTTAGACATTAAGATTGAATGAAAATATCAATTGAAGAGCATAATACAGAATAAATAAATCTATGTACTTTTAAAAAAATAAAAATGAATTTGTAATGAAGATAGTAGTAACCAAAGTCTTCTTTTCTACTTTTTTTTTTATTATACGGGTACCAAAATAATTCTATTGTACGTCTATTTTAGCAAAAATTTAAGTTTAAAAATTTCACCAGCATTTTGTGAGTTTTATCTGACGAATATGTTTACTTAGTATTTGCTAAGCTCAATGAAAAAACAACCTCAAATGACATAATTTAAAATAACTGGCACTAATAACAAAAAGGAGAATAAACATGCGTCACAATACGTTTATCAATATACGTATGCACAAAACCCGGGACGTAACAAGTTGTGTAACTAAAGGAGATGCATTTCATTTCACTCTTTTGGAGAATTAAACCGAATAATTCATCCAAGAGATATTATATAAAATGTCTATAATTTGAACAGACGTCGTTCTTATTACATGAATAGGTTTCACTAAACAAAGTCACACATACTCTATATATTATGAGGACATTTATATTGAACTTAATATAAATTTATATACCCAATGAGGTAAAATTCAAGAATTTAACAGAGAATGCAAGAAACAAATAAATAAGGATCTTGGTTGGAAACTAAGCGTGTGCAAAATGGATCGCCTAAAGCGGGAATCGCCCGAACTGGACTGAACTGGCCGGTGGGGTCCGGTTCCCGGAAGTATCTGTTCGGTTCCCGGTTCCTAAAAGTGAAACCGATGTCCAAAAATAAATAGGATATTTTTAAATAAAGATCACCCGAAAGTTGTGACATAGCTTCTTAAATAAAGATTTATCTGCAAACTCAAAGAAGTCTTGACAAAGCACTGTCCTTACAACTAGTGGAATGATCATGCTACTAATTGATATACGATCATGTCGAAAACAATTTCTAGAATACATGCCACAAGCAAAGAGAGAGACTACACTAGTGAAATGTATTCATTTCGTCCCACCAATCATGACCACAATGATTGAGATCATACCAAGTGCGGGTCGATACAGAAATCTTGTAGATCAAAACGAATCTGCAAGAATTTTCGGGACCTAAAACATCATCGGATAAAGGTCACAAGCGATGCATGCGCCTTAGGCAGCGACTGGGCCTTGTGTGGTGAAAAGGGACGTGTGCGTGGCATGTGCGACTGAGTCGGCCGCTGATGTGGCGTCCGTCTACCACGTGTCAGTCTCTCATCAGTCCACATTCCAATGACGTCGTGAACTTGTCTAACGTTCTACGTTAGATGACGCGACACTCCGTGTTAGGCTGTCATGATACGACCAAGTTTGTATTGTTTCAACTAAAGATGTGGTGATGACATGACTAATATGTTAGCGTCTTTATCCTCGTGGCCAATTTCTCATGTGAACTTACAAAATTCACAAAATATTCTCTAGATTTCAAATTATATATATACACACATATATGTATATATTTTATATTGTGAGAAGCTTGTTTC